GAGAGCACTTCAGAAGATGAACTCTGACACCCTGGGAGGCAGGCGGGGCTTGTGTGTTGCCTGGTAGCGATTTCCACAGTCCATGTGAAGTTCCACAGTCCATGTAAAGCCACACTTTACTGGGGAAAACATGTACTTTGGTGCCAGGAGTCCTTCTTTATACAAATTGGACTGTTCCACCTGCTTTTTCCCCAGGTATATTAGGACATGTTGTTGTTGTTATGTGCCGTTGAGTCGGACCTGACTCATCGCGACCCCTCCTTGGGTTTCCGAGGCAGTATCATTACAGAAGTAGATTGCCCAGCCTTCCTTCCGAGGCGTGGCTGGTGGGTTTGAACCGCCAGCCTTCTGGTTAGCAGTCAAGTGCCTTAGGCACTACACTACCAGAGAGAGAGCTCCTATATTAGGACATACTTTGCTCAATATTGATTTGAACTTAGTAATAATTTTAAAGGGCAGCTCTCAGACATGTGCTATCTATTTGGTTCCCAAAAGGTAAATTATTTTATGAAAGATCTTCCTCTGCTAAGTTAAATATGAAAATTTTGTCAAGTAGGAGATTTCTTAAAGTTCATTTTGACAAATGATTGATCTGTTCTAACTTATGTTCTTTCTCATTGCTTTCAGGTTCCTAGGGTATGAACTAATACAGACTTGGAAACTGAAAGAACTTAGAGTCAGCATTTTGAGGTAAATATGTACAAATTAGTGCTAAGGTTGCCCCATTCTGCTTTGTTAACTTTTAGCAAAACAAATTTGTGCGTAAGATGACAAAGCTTCATCTCCAGATGAATTTTTTTTAAGCAACTAGAAGTGGATAGTGAAATAGAGACTACATCCACCCCTCATGTACCAACACGACTAGGTTCCAAAGACCAGGTCGTTAGAAAAAAAAAGGAGAATGACCGCATCAGATCACAAAGTGGAGGGTGACTGCATCATTACATAACTGTCAAACTATATCAGTCCCTAACTGCTAGTTACGTTATTACGTAACTGCCAAGCCACTGAGAATCATGGCCCAGCCAAACTGACAGATAACTTTAACCATCCCAACGAGGGTTGTTCTCATCCCACACCTCAGCATTTGTTACCGCCAGATGTGTACCGTTAACGTGCAGAAGAGTCAGAGGGTAGATTTTTTTTTTTTACTATTGTTGCAAGTGCAAACTGTCGGATAACAAAGTCGGTCAGTGAGAGGGGTGTTGCTGATTTGTTTGTCCTGAGTTCTGGCAACAGTAGAAAGTAGAGGCTTTCCAGTAGGTCATGAGCATAAGCTAAATCTGGTGTCCAGTTTTAAAAAATCAGGATTTGTGAAATTAAGCTTTTCATCTCAATACTTTCTGCTTCCTTAGTTTGTCATTTCCAGTTAAAGCCAGCCTTAAATTTAAATTTCTCCCACAACATTAACCTTGAACTGTGTTCCTGAGTTCTTTTATTCATAAACTAAAGAAATGGTATTAAAAAATTTATAGTGTGGATTTAACTGTTCATAGAGTTTGTGCTTTTGATTTCACTTTGAGAGGTTGAAACTGCTGGTGGTTTTCATCTGTGTGTTGGACTCACTGCCGGCTGGTTGGGATTTCTCGGCCACGGGGCCCCTTCTGGTGGGCTCTGTGTATTTCTTTCTTCTGTGGATGTGCATTTAGGAAATAATGCATAATTATCCTTTCGTCTTTGCCATTTTTCAATAATCTGTGAAGCACTGTCTTTAGAATTTAGTGACTTTGTCCAATTTCTTTGTACCCCTTTGAAATCTTTCCTTGAATTTTCCTCCAGCCTTTCCTTTCCTCCCATCTCTGGAGTTAGGCATACCAGGGTTGCAGCTCACTCTCTTGTTCTTTGTTTCAGACCAGGACATAATGTCCTAAAACAACCCACATGTCTTTGTTTAAAATTTTATGCAAAATAATGGCCTTTTATCCAACCCTTCCTGTCAAAGGGGCTGCCTTGTAGATGTGTTTCTGTTGCGTTTAAGGACAGGAGCCTGACACGTGGCTGTTCTCCCATTTGTTTTCAGAGCCGGAGCGTGGCTACGCTGTGGTTTCCCAGTGCACTACCATCACAATGTCAGGATGCAGTTCAGACGGCAGCAACACAGAGGCCTCCCACATTAAAACGGTAAACCTGCCATCTGTCCTAGTAAAAGAGGAAGGGTTTGTAGCTTTGCTGTTATTTCTAAGTGAATAAAACATGGAAACTGTGTATCCATCTCACGAATTTCATGAGCATACATTGTTTGACCAGAAATTTCCAGTCGTGCTTAAGACACAGTCACTTGGAGGAGCTGCTGGCTCTGCTGAAGCTGCTGACGGCGGTCAGTTCATCCACCCAACGGTGGGCCTGATGCTCACCAGCAGGGAGTCACGTCTTCTCATTACACCCAGCTTTTTAAAAAACCTGTTTATTGAACATGCGAGAGGAAGTGAAAATTGGCCAAATGATAGGTTTTTCTATATTTTCATTGTAGGATTACCTGCTGACTTGTTTAATCTTGGATTTACAGACAGTGTGTTCCTGAGGCCAGCCACTGTACCCTAAAGGAAGGAAAGTGAGTTTAGTACCGTGAGCTTCTGTGAAGTATGGTAGGGAGGGCTCAGTTGTTGTCCTCCAGTTCTGTCCTCTCTCCTGCACCCTCCTCAAGTAGCAGCCGTGGGGCTGGGGTGGGAAGGAGCAGTGGGTGCACACTTTCAAGTCAAAGAAGTATCTTTTGAACCATCCGTGATTCTGTTCTGCACATTATTGTATGGACAGCCATGAGTCTCTGATTCAGTTCATCAAGTATTTACTTCAAACATACATGGTAGGTTGTACTAGGACTTTTAAGAGCCACAAAGAATGAGCCATTCATTTTGACTTTATGGAGCGTATGTTCCAGTGAACGAAGAAGGTATGTATGTACGTGTGTCTGTGAATGTGTGTCATGTGATACTATTATGAAAAGGCAGATAGAAGCGGTTAGAAGGTTTGTGTCACTCGGGTGGACCCTGTTTCCATTCTGCACCTGTATTGCTTATTTACTGTGTCCAGGGACGGCTTGGTGCGGAGGAGGGTGCGGACACAGGTAGTGCACACAGGTCTATCCTAAGGACTACCTCGTCTGAGTGGTCAAATTTTTGTGAGACTGCAGAGTGGAAGGAGTCACTGGGTGGAACAGACGTTGAATGCACTCAGCCACTAACCAGAAGGTTCGAGGTTCCAATCCACCAGAGAGGCCTCCGAAGAAAGCCCTGGTAGTCTGCTTCTGAAAAACCAGCCACTGGAAACCTACAGAGTGGGTTTACTCTGCTCACACGAGGCTGCCCCAGTTAGACTGCACCTGGCGGCAGCTGGTTAGGGACAAGAAGGAGATGGTTGGAGTCGGTTACTTTTAAATCACAGAGCTGTAGGTGCATAGCCTTTAAAGGATTTTGGGCAGCACACTCTGAAGCTTGGTAACATGACTCAGGTGAAAGTCACGTAACAGTTCGTGGGGTTGAACACATAGGGTTAAAGTACCCGATTACAGACTTTGAAGTGGTCAGTACAGGGTGTGGGTGATGGGTGGCAGCTGCCCCGCTGACGGCGATGACTGGCCAGTGGCGGTGGGGACGGGTTGGGGCAGCAGTCTACACTGGAGGAGTGAGTCATCTGAGCAGAAGAGGGGAGGTGGCCGAGGTCAGACAGTGGTGTGCAGTGGTCATCGGTGCACAGTGTCATTGGATCACATGTCACAGAGGCATGTGATCTGATTGGATTCACATGTTCATATCACATGCTTTTCCCCAAGCTCCCTTCTCAGAGCTCCTTCTCTCTGTTGTATCTTGTGGAAGCTGCTCCCGTTCTGATCTGTCGATAGTTACGCATTACGTGTGCGTGTTAACTTGCTGTCTGCCCGTTTCCTCTTTCTTCAGTGCCTGAGTGCCGAGAAAGGCATACCTTTCATCTCACTGTTCCTTGATATTTCTTCACTTTTATTCTCCCGACTCTGTGCCAGCGGCAGGGGTGGGGTGAGGGACATGCTGAGCAGTGCCCAGCTGTGTGTGACTGATGGGCCAGGAAACTGGCCTGGATGCTGCATTTGGAACCTTTCGCACATTCTGTACATGCTGGTCAGTGGGAACAGGGTTGTCACACTTGGGTGGAATTGGTGTCTCCTTGAGGTGAAACTGGTCCTGGAGACCTGGGGAGGCTTGGTTCTGTGTTTCAGATCTTGGGCCGCCTTCCCCTCCATTCTCATGGACTGGCTTGCCTGTTTCCACGTGTGCTCTTACTACCTTGTTTTCAAACAAGATTTCTTTCTTCCCCTGATGAAGGGCCCAGGCAATTATATTGTCCAGGTTTTTCCCGTTTGATTGTCTCTGAAGCAAGCACGTGAGCCTTGGCAGTTCCGAGAAGGATTTCCTAGTGGCATCAAAGGAAACACACTCCTAAGGACAGATGAGGAGACAGTCTCAAAGTGTCAGAGTCTCAGAAGCTTTTCGATAGACTTGTCTCTGGTTTCTTGGAATGAACATGGTGCTAGACTTTTTCCTACAAATGGTGCCCCCCTCCCCCAAGAGAAGTGATAATGGTGATTAAGAGTACCATTTGAATCATAAAAAAGACCAGATGTACCGGTCTGATAGAGACTGGTGAAACCCCTGAGACTATGGTCCTTGGACACCCTTCGATCCTGGAACTGAACCCACCCTGGGGAGTCACCTTTCAGCCAAACAATAGATAGGCCTATACCGTGAACAGCCAACCAGGAGGAACATCCTTCTCAGTCCATTTAGCCCTGTGAGACCGAAGGGCAGCATTTGCCCCAAAACAAAGCTCAGAAGGAAGAAGGGGCAGGAAAGAAGGACACATGGAAATGGGGAACCCAAGGAGGAAGTGGGAAGAGTGCTGTTATGTTGAGAGGATTGCAACCGGTGTCACCACACAAAATGTGTACAAATTGTTGGATGGGAAAGTAATTTGTTCTGTGAACTTCCACCCAGATCACAATAAAACATTTTTTTTTTTTTAAAGTACCATTTGGTTTGCTTTTGTTTGTGAATCTCAGAAAATTCAATTTAAGCTAGTGTAGATAGTTTAGATAGGAAGGGAATTGGTTGGCTCATGTAATTGGAGCATCCGTCCTTTGGCTGGGCTTTGAGGTTGGTTGATACAGCAGCTCACTGATGTCTTCAAGGACTCAGTTTATTTTTGCCATCTGTATTGCTGGTTTCATCCTAAGCCTGGGTCTTTACATGAGTGTTAGGTAATTTCAGCAGCCAGTGGGATTGATAATTTCCTGAGCCATGTTCAGCCACCAGGTGAAAGCCCTAGCCTTTGTGCTGTTGGGCTGGCAGGAGCCAAGTCCCATGGCAAGTGAGAGTTGTGCAGCAACTGGCCTAGCTCTGAGCAGTGGGCGGATACAGAAAATAAGCAGCTAGGTCCCTGGTGACTTAGCGAGGTGCTGATTGGCTGAAACCAAGCAGAGCCACTGCTGGAGCTGGGAGTCAGCACAGTGCTGCCCAGTGGGAGAAGGGGCAGGAGGCTGTGGGAGACAGCCAGGGGCCTCCTTTGAATACATAAAAGAATGCAGTGTTTTTTGAAGAGCACAGTTCACCCTTTTAAAAAAACCAGAATAGTCCTCTCATTTATTTCTCAGACGATGTCTCTGGAATTATTATTAATCTTATCTGTATGGGAAGACTTGGTGGTAGTGGAGGAAAGAGTTTGTGGCTGTGCGTGGCTTCTGGAGGTGGGGAAAACATGGCGGCATTTATACTGCTGTCCTCTCTCCTCCTCCTCGTGTCATCCCACCCACCACTGGAACATAGTCTGATTCCAGATACCTGCCACTGTCTGTCTGAGGTCTTGGGTTAGTGTTTGAGTTGGGTGAAAAGGGAGGGGTTGGGTTTCAGGATAAACAGTGCAGCCCACGGTCAGGAGGGTGGAATCCAGGGGTGTCCCCAGGGTTGGTATTGGCATCTAGGTACAAAGGCCAGTGAGGTGCCTGTGACCCTGATGCTCGTGCCTTGCGAGTGGCCTGTCGTGTCTCAGGAGATTTGATGGACTTCCACCTAAGGTTTCTTGGCAGCTGTGAAGACAGAATTCTGGAATGATGAACTTGAAGGTGGGCACTTTGAGGGCCTGACGGATTCACCTGCGGGGTAAAAGGAAGGCCTGTGGAGGCTTTGGTTCTGGAAGATGGGCCATCGTTTCTCGTGAAGACCGTAGTTCCTTCCCCTTCATCCAAGGAGAGCGACGTGCTGTATCCTCAGAATGCTCCAGGCCTTTGCATCCCACCTTTCTGAGGGCAGGATGACAGGAGTGACTGCATCCAGTGCACAGGTCCTCAGCCCTGTACCACTCACTTGGAGGAGCACTTGGTAGCCACTGGATGCCGAGTCCGCGTCTGCTCGATTCATCTCTGGAATCAGTTTGCTATCTGTGCGTGAAAGGAACTCTGCACTTGAGATTGGGTTAGGTCCCTGTGTTGTACTGTGGTTGCAAGTTTCACATGTCAGGAGATGAAAAAGGTGGTTGAAGATCAAAGAGCTGGCTTCTCTCTCCAGTTTCACAGAGTGTAACAGTGAACACTCCAAAGTAACACCAGACTCCCCACTGCTGTCGATCGACCCTGGTGCACAGTGCCCCTAGAGGATGGAGTGGAACTGACCCAGAGGGTTTCCAAGGCCGTCAGTCCTTACGGAAGCAAAGCCTAAACCCAACCCCCTGCCATTGAATCTATTCTGACTTACAGCACCCCTAGAGGACAGAGTCGATCTGCCTCAGGGGCTTTCCAAGGCTGTAATCTTTACCGAAGCAGGACTACCCAGGGAGCGGTAGGCGGGTTGGAGTCACCAACCTTTTGGTTCACAGCCAAGCACTTCAGCCACTGTGCTGCTAGAGCTCGATAAAATTGCCTTTTGCAGGCCAATAAATTCTGCTGACAGTCACAAAAACTGGTGATGGTCTTTCCTGCAGAGGTTTGAGATGCTGTCTACTTGCAGGTTAGGACTTTTAAAAAGCCTCAAGTTTTATTTTGTTCTGATAATGAAATTTATCTGTGGAAAAGAAAGAAGTAACAGGAGTGTTGATACCATGGAAGCGTTTTCATTTCACAGGGCTGTGCTTGGTTCAATTTCTCGGGGCCGTGGATAATGTTAAAGACACGTGCTGAAATAGTTGGTCAGCTACACAACTGTGATCGGTCGTCAGCTGAGGAAGAGACCTGGGGTTATGGTCTTTGATACGATGACATAGTGATGGCAGGCATTTGAGTCTTTCCTGTGGGGCAGGCACAGTGCCAGGTGCCTTCCATGCATGACTCATTTCATCGCTAATAACGTCATCAAATTTACAAAGAATGTTTGAAATACACACACACACACCCAGTTGCATGTTTTATATAAATATGCACATGTGTATATTTAAAAAGATAACTTACTATGCGTATTTTCTTTTAAAGGGTTATTGTGGTTACCGTTCGGTGTTAGTAAATACAGACAAACTTAGAATTTTAATGGATTAAAAGTATCCCCTCATATAACCGTATTTTTTTATTTAGCTAATCTTTTATTGGTAGATGTTACAGTTATTTCTTGTTTTTAAGTAATAATGCTGCAGCAAATGTTCATGTTCTTAGATCTCTGTGCGGTCGTCTGATTCTTTAAGTATGTTTCTAGGTGTAGAATTGCTGGGCTGAACGGCGTAGAATACTTGACTTTTCAGATGATCCAATTAGATCAAGAAAAAGCTAAAGCAGTTAGAGGGAACATTTGAATAGGCCCATAGGAATGATATTCTGATGTTTCTCTTGTTCTGGGCTCTCTTTTGTTTTAACACTGCATGGTTGTATAATGGTATTCTTTTTCCCTTTGTAGTAAGCTGTGCTAGAACAAAAATGCAATGAAAGAAACACTGGATGAATGAAAAGCTCTGCTCTGCCGCCCTCAGCATGGCAGGCCTGCAGCTCATGACTCCTGCCTCCTCACCAATGGGTCCTTTCTTTGGACTGCCATGGCAACAGGAAGCAATTCATGATAACATTTATACGCCAAGAAAATATCAGGTACTAATGACAACACTAATCTGGGAGTTTTTTTTCACTAAAATGGAGTGATTTAGCATAGAGTTGACACACCTATGAAACTCATTCACCCTGTGAAGCCTCCGCTTCTGATTAATTCTCTCATAAAAACACTTTTGTTCTTCATAGCCCTTTTCTTTTCTAACATCTGCGGGGTAACTTATTTGATAGTTTATTTGTGAAGTAATTTTTCCCCTCTCTGACAACCTCACTGTCTCCTAATATCCATTTGGGTATCTGCCCTATTGAATTGGGTAAAACTGGAGATTGGTTTGAAATACGCACCCAGCTGGCAGAACCATGGTTACTGTAAGCTTAGTCATATTCTTCTCAGGAATTATCTTTGCAAAAATAGAATTCTTAAATGAAGATGAAAAATTATGAATGCCATTTTAACATCAGTTTGCACAGCACAGGCCTCTTAATACCCCTGATTATTCTTCTGTAAAGATGTAGGAAGTATGCTTTTTGGTAAATTTATTGGAGGAAGATTTTAGAAAACGGCGACACTTCCTGATTTGAAACAAAATCCGATTTTCTAGATTCTGAACTTTGGTGAGAAGTGTGTCATCTCTTCTTGCACTGTGTTCTAGGTTGAACTGCTGGAAGCAGCTCTGGATCATAACACCATAGTCTGTTTAAACACTGGCTCAGGGAAGGCGTTCATTGCGGTACTACTCACGAAAGAGCTGTCCTACCAGATCAGGGGAGACTTCAACAGAAATGGGAAAAGGACGGTGTTCTTGGTCAACTCTGGTAATAAGAAAAGCGACTTAAATCACTTAGTGTGGAGAAGACTGGATAAGATTTTACGTGTTAGCAGATTTTCTCTGTGGGTATTAAATCCTTGAAAGGAAAAGGGGTCTGACAGTTCTGTGCTGCCTCAGGCTCTCCCATTGCTTGGTACCACTTTGTCGTTTTCCTGACGTGACACTGTTCCTCCTAGATGCCAGCCACTCTCTCTCAGGTGTTATACTTCAGTTTTTCTCTTAAATGTAATTGCCTTTAATTCTGGTTCTGTGTTGCTTTTGAATGGATTACTTTTGGGATCTAATCTAATCAGAGTTGTCACAGTTACTTTTGTGGTTGATGTTTTTGCTTCACATTTACCATATATGGTACCTGATGATGAGCTAGGTAACTTTGTGATTTGCAATTTGGCTCTACCGGTTATAGAAAAAAAGTCATATGCTTCTTAATAGTTAGATGTAGTAAGAGTTTAAAATACTGATTTTTATGTGTTGGGGATTATGCATCAAAACAAAAGTATAAAATGTCAACCTAAGCCGATAGAGTATTGATGTAACTGTTACTTCCTTCCTTCCGTGAACAGTCCTGGTGTGACTATGAGATGTTCTCGTGTTTTATACATGTCATTAGACTGTTTTAGTTCTTGGTGAAATGATGTCATTTTATTGAAGGCAACAGGAGGGGTGGTTCTGGTCTGAGGCTAGAGGAAGTGAACTATGAGAAAGGGAAGTGATAGGCTCTCTGAAGTGGGGTGGGGAGGTAACCTTGGAACTCTGAGTTTCAGTTGGCTATTTAAGAACGTGGTGGTTGGCTGTATATAATACGTAATAACGATTTACTTCCCTGTCATAGTCATTGTTAGTCCAGAGATGCGGCTAGGTAAGACTGCTCATATTTACATGGAGTGTTGTTATCTGTAACCAGCAAACCAGGTTGCTCAACAAGTGTCAGCTGTCAGAACCCACTCCGATCTCAAGGTTGGGGAGTACTCAGACTTAGAAGCAAATGCATCTTGGACAAAAGAGAAATGGAACCAAGAGTTTACCAAGCACCAGGTAAGACTTGGAGAGGAGTTCCGCTTTGTAAATCCCCACAGTCCTTGACGTGGTTGGTCACATGACCTGTGGCCTTGGTGCCTGCTCTCCTGTGCTTTGTCAGTGTAGCCTCTCGCCCTCTCCTTGCTTTCTGTGTCACCCTACAGCCACGTAGACTGAGGGCTGGTCTTACTTCATGGAAGAGAAGCTGCTGGGTGGTGTGGTTTACTTGCTGGAGAAATGCAATTCTGCCACCTGTTTCCAGCTTTCAGAAGATTTATTCTTGAATTTATGTCTCAAGACTTAAATGCTTTCTGGGTTGAGGTCTTTGGGTCTTCGATGGAGGTCTCCAGCCCAAGTCTCTGTGGAGCCAGCCTGTGTGAGAACCTTCTCTGCCACTCACTTTGGTTGCTTGGCATTGGTGAGTGGTTAAGACCTGCTTCAGTAACCCTCAGCGCCCATAGTCTCTACTAGGAGAGCTCGCATACTGGCTTAAGTCCTCATTAATAAAACACTCAGTGGCCATAGGATGGTAAGTTAGAAAAAGAAGATTCAGCTTGTGTTGCCTCCCAGAAAACTGTGGCAGTGCAACGAAAACAGAAAGAGCAGTATGGATTGTTTTGTGATTGGACGAAATTGACAGATCTCATCAGTCAAAATAACGGCTCTAGAAACCTGAAAACCTGAAGCAGATTCGGTAGATGTACCACAGAGACCAAAGCCAACCCACTGCCATCAACTCGATTCCAACTCACAACCTCTAGAGGGCATAGTAGAACTGCCCCATAGGTTTCCAAGGCTGTCAGTCTTTACGGAAATGACTGCCTCATCTTTCTCCCACAGAGTGGCTGGTAGGTTTGGACGGAATGCTTTCAACCACTGCCCCACCAGCGCTCCTTACCAGAGACATGGACCCCATCCATAAAAAAGAATTTCCTCCAGTAGAGTCTGTTTCCATGTTTTCATCACTTTGCCTCTTGGTCCCAATATATGAACTTCTGTGTTAGAATTCTTGGTTTAATTTTAACTAATGAATTTCTTAATCCACATCTACAAAACGGTGGCTCTGTGGTTTGATTTCATATATGTCCATCCAGGCATGTGAATGGCACATTTGTGTACTGATGTTGGTTTTATTTTAGGTTCTGGTTATGACTTGCTATGTCGCCTTGAATGTTTTGAAAAGTGGTTACTTATCACTGGCAGATATTAACCTTTTGGTGTTTGATGAGTGCCATCTTGCGATCCTAGACCACCCCTACCAAGAAATTATGAAGGTGAGTGTTAGATGTTATCAGTGTTAGTAGTTTGTAGTCATGTTACTGAGTCTGCACACTGTTCTAGATATCAAATAAAGCAGTAACAGTTATCAGCTGGGGGGACTTGATTCCAGTGTATGAATGAATGAATACTAAATTAACGTTAATTTAAATGTACAATAAACTTCTAAACATCATAATGTCAACAAGTAAGCGACATATAACAGTCTGTCACAGCATGCTTAAATGTGCCCTTTTTGTGAAGCATTGCAGTTGTCCAAAAGTCTTATGATGTCCTTAGTGCGTTGTTAGCACTGAGCAAGTTGTGTTTGTATTTGATTAGTGTCTGTGACATGATTTCACGTGGTAGTGTCTGATTTTGTTATGGCCTTGCAATAAATGGAATCCTCACTGTCAATATCTTTCATTACGTTAGCTTTGTGAAAATTGTCCGTCATGTCCTCGCATTTTGGGACTAACTGCTTCCATTTTAAATGGGAAATGTGATCCAGAGGAATTGGAAGAAAAGATTCAGAAACTGGAGAAAATCCTTAAGAGCAATGCTGAAACTGCAACTGACTTGGTGGTCTTGGACAGGTATGCAGCTGACTGCCGTGGCGTTAACGAGATTGCTTGTCCTTATTTGAGTGAGCACGTGTTTGTGAAAAGGCATGAGCAAGACTGAGAATTCTCTCTGCAGCCGGTCAGTCTCTGAGTGCAGGAGTCTAACCTTCGTTCAGCCTCAGACGGAGGGAGGTGTTTCTGCCTCAGTGGAATATATGGGGTGAGCACAGCCCGGCCTCTTGCTGACCAGGACTCGCAATTTTGGCAGCAGACGTGCGTTTTTCCCTGTCAGTATCTCTGCTTGGTTGTTCTGACCTAACTGTCCTGCATGATGCTTTGAAAAAACATTGATTTACTTAGAGAATCCAGGATTTTACAATATACTTTAAAACAATTGAAAACACCCTGTTGTTTCAAAAATAGGTTGTGGATTCTGATACTGTTTATGATTTCTATGTTTGTCTCTTTTGAGAGTTGAAATTTTGAGGTTCATTAAAACGTGTGCATGCGCACACACACATATCCTGATTGATTTGCTTAAGTTGGTAGAAGGGAGACTGTATAAATGGACACATACACACACAAACACATGCATAACCTAATTGATTTGCTTTAGTTGGCAGATGGGAGACTATATAAATTAGTAGGGAGATGGGTTTTTAAATAAGTGTAACCATTCATTTCGTATAAAAATGCCCTTATGTCCTTCTTGGTGTCTTCAGGCTAGTGATTAGCAGGTGCTGATCCTTAGGGCTGTCGTAATGAATGGAGAAGACTTATTTGTCAGGGAGCTAAGAGTTGAGTGAGACATGTTTGTACACTGGCTCTGTTGTCATGTGCTGTCGGGTCGGTTCCAACTCCTAGTGACCCTGTGCACAACAGAGAGAAACACAGCCTGGTCTGGCACCATTTGCACGTTTGTTGCCATGTTTGAGTTCATTGTTGTAGCCACTGTTCATTCGTTTAGGGTCTTCCTCTTTTTCTGCTGACCCTCTGCTTCACCAAGCATGATATCCTCCAGGGACTGGTCCCTCCTGATAACATGGCCAAAGTACGTGAGACGAGGTCGCACCATCCTTGCTTCTAGGAGCATTCGGGCTGCACTTTGTCAAGGCAGATTTGTTCATTCTGGCAGTCCCTGGTATTTTCAGTATTCTTCAGCAACACCACAATTCAAGGGCATCACCTCTTCTTCAGTCTTCCTGTTCATTGTTCACCTTTCACATGCATGTGAGGCAATTGACAATACTAGGACTAAGGCGCACTTTAGTCCTCAAGGTCACATCTTTGCTTTTGAACACTTTTAACAGGTTGTTTGCAGCAGAGTTGCTCAATGCAGTTCTGGCTGTACCATTTGTAGACTGTGTGACTATGAGTGGATCACTTACTGTCCCTAAACCTGTACCATGGCAATGGTGGTAGTTTCCTGTGATTCCTTGATGAGTGGTTTCATTGGCACCTTGTGATGTGCCTGGTATTTAATAGGAATTTGGTCAAAATTCTCTGTAGAGTGAGAAGAAAAGGGACATTTTAGATTCATGGAACTTACATAGCTAAATGCCAGGTGGACTGTAGGTCCCCTGAGCTCAGGACCTCCTTTTTCTGACTTCCAAGAGCCTGATGTGAAAGTCCAAGGCTATGTTTTTGTTCATGTCTGACCTGAAATAGATCGCTGGGCCTGCATAGCTTGAGGCCTTGAGGGGAAGTGGAGGTGTTGGGATGCTGAAGTACATACAGCTGAGAAGTCATTGTGGGCTTTGGCATGTACCTGCTTCTCCACATAGGAGTCTGGGTGTTGAACTGCTCCCTTTGCATGGTCTTTGCTTGTTAGCTTGCTGTTCCCCAGAACTCTTAGGCTTTCCAGATTTGAAGGATTAAATTTCAACTCTAGAGTTTGATGTCAGGTAATTATCAAAGTTGAGTCTCTCTGCACCTGGGCTCCCACGATGGGGAAGAACTGCAGAGCACTGAGTCCTGCTTTGTTTGGGAAGGAGCTTCTTCAGCCTTGGTTTCCTCTGCCGCTTCCCAGGGCTGTGAATGCTTTCTCCCAGCTGGCATATGACAGACCAGGCCATGGTCCCTCCTAAAGCTTCTGGCCCCCACTGCTCTTGTTTATTACTTGTAGGGCACAGATTGAAGGAGCACTGGTGGTGTAGTGGTTAAGGCATTTGGCTCCTAACCAAATGGTTGGTAGTTCAAACTCGCTGGCCACTCTGCGGAAGAAAGATGAGGCAGTCTGCTTCTGTAAAGATTTACAGCCTTGGGCCTTGGAAACACAGTGGGGTCGCTATGTGTTGCAATTGACTCATTGGCAGTGAGTTTTGAGTGAGGGCACAGATTGTACAACTTCTGCATTGACCTTGTGAAAAGGACAAGAGTGAGAGGATACCACCTGTCTTTTCCCCTAATCATGAAAGTCTTTATTTGACAGCTACAAAGATGCAAACAAGAAAGATTACAACTTCCCACAATCTCTCTGCATAGAGATAAGCAATGTGAACATTGTAATGGACTTCTTAACTATCATGTGTGTGTATACACAGAATTTAGCACTTACATGTACATTCTCTTCAGAAGTAACATGTCTTACAAGTGCAGTTCTACATTTTGCTCTTTGACTTAACATTGTGAATGTTTTTCAGTGTGAATTCCAGGTAGAAGGACTTTCAGTTACTTCACACTATTTTGTTGGGTAGCTGCACCCTCAGTTACTACTATTGTTGTTATTGGACATCAGCATTTCCAGGTTTGGGCCGTTAGGTGGCCATTCTTTTTTTTTTTTTTTTTTTGGTGATGTGGGTGAAAGTTTACAGAGCAAATTCACTTTCCATACAGCAGTTCACATATACTTTGTCTCATGACATTGACTACAATTTACCCCAGTGCAACAGCTCCCCTCCCTCTTCCTCCTCATAGTTATCTCTTCCCTGTGTCCATCTCTCCATGCACCTCTGCCCCCTGAGCTTTCTCCCTGTGCATAAGCAGCCCTTCTTTCTCCCATGATCGTTCTCTCCAAGGAGTGTATCCACCTCAGGTACATGTTCAACTTATATGCCTTCTTTTGTTTGGCTGGAAGCCACAGGTGTGGGTTCAATTCCAGACCTGAAGGGCAGCTAGGGGTCATAGTCTTAGTGGTTCCACCAGGCTCTATCAGACCAGCAAACCTGGTCCCCCCTTTTTTGTTCCTTTCCAAATGATTTTGAGTTTTGTTCCACATGGTTCTGCCTCTCTATCCAGGCTCTCCTCCATAGATCCCCCTCTGAGTGGTTGACAGTGGTAGCCGGGCACCATCTAGTTCTTCTGGTCTCATAGTTGTATAGGCTGAAGATTGCACAGCGTACTAGTCACTTGGCCTAATTGTTTCCATGAATGTTTGGTTTTCTTCATTTTTCTTTGCTCTGGACAAGGAGAGACCCATCGTTGCATCTAGATGGCTGCTTGCAAGCTTTTAAGATCCCAGTCACTGCTTGCCAAAGTAGGAGGTGTAACAATGTTTTTGTGTAGTATGTTATGTAGATGGCCATTCTTATATGTAACGTTATGCTCACATTTCTGATAGGACTTAGGATAGTGTCCTAAAGAACTACAGGGACAAAGGATAATGTTTTCCAAGGCTCTTGATACCAAACCAGCTGCCACTGAGTCGATTCTGTCACCTCACGACCCCCGTGTTGAGGAGGAGAACTGCACTCCCTGCGATTTTCAAGGTTGTGACCTTTCAGAAGTAGTTGGCTGGGCCTTTCTTCCAAGTGTCTGGGTGGTTCAGACCACAGACCTTTAGGCCAGTAGTCCCTTTGTACCACTCAGGTGCTGTGCAGGTCTCGATAGGAATTCTCAAATTTATTTCCAGGAAAGTGTACCAGAATTGAATATTATTTTATAAACTTTTCTAACTTGGTGGAAGAAGTAGCAGATTTTCATTTCTTATATTACTAATAAGGAAAAGCAGTTTAGAATATATACGTAAAATATCCATTCATGTCCTGTGCTTTCTTTTTTCTTTGTGTAAGGCTTCAGTGTTTTTGTTTTTAATTTGTACAGATTCATTATTTATTGGGGATCTCAAGTTTGTTACACTTACTTTAAATAGCAGTGTGTTGCTGTAAATTGAGTTTGGAGGTTTTTGTTTTTGTTTTTCAAGAGTATTCTTCCAGACTCTTACTTTAGTTTTATTAAAGAGTTTTTCTGAATGCCCAACAGTGTTAATCCAGTAATGGACAGAAACACGCTGCATGGTATGTATTAGAGACTCAGGGGTTGGTTAAATATAAATTCCGATTTGGGTTAAGAAAAGGGAAAAACTATAGTATTTAAATATGCCTTCACTGTGTTTCTTTCCCTGAATTAAAATCATTGTGCCTCCAGAATATTATGTATCATTCTGCTTGTCCTGTTTTATGGACGGCATCCAAGGAACGATATCAGACATGATTGAAAGTTAGGAGAGCTTTTCTCACACATTAAAAACAAATGAACAGTTGCAACTGCTGAAAATTTCAGATAGTATGGGAAGGGATGCAATTAGTGAAACTTTCCCCTATGGTCTACCTCCTATCCCTGTGTCTACTTCTGAGAAGTGGTCATTACTTAGTTTCTTGAATATTTTGAACATCGCTGTTCTTGATTGTGGCTAATACCTAAGGGAGCAAGAGATGGAAGTCCAAACCTACAAACAACACAAAACAAAACAAAAAGCATGGGATAATAATGAAATACGTTCACAAAGTTCTTGAAATATCAGCCTCAGGTGATCAGTCCTTGAGGCCAATCAGTCACAGGCAAGCACAGTAGAGACAGAAGTCAGGACCACTGTAGGGAGGCATCTTATAAGCCTGCCTGTTAACATCCCAAGGAGGCATGGAGACTGAAAATAGGAACTTTCTTCGGTGGTGGTGGTGGTGGTGGTGGGTGTTAGATGCCCTCAGGTCGGTTCTGACACAGTGACCCTGTGTCCTAACAACACAACAAAACACTGCCCGGCCCCGTGTCATTCCATCTCATTGAGGGTCGTCTTTTTCACTGACCCTCTGCTT